CACTAAAGAGTTTAATCCTGCCGTCTAGCTGATACTAATAATTATAGCCTTACAAAGAAGTAGGAAACTGGTGTCTCCCTCATTGGCTGTAGGAATGATTCATAATGAACCTGCCAACAAATAGAGGCTATTTAAAAGCATATACTATTCCGAAATATTAATCTATCTCAAATCGGTTTGAACTATCTAAATATAATGGTTTTTAATGAAACTGTCACTAAATGCTTGCTTTTTTGGAGCGGTAATACAAATTAGTATAATTTCATACACAATTTCTTTTCTTATCATTCTACGCCTTGATCAAACAAACTCTCTGGAAGATCGGATTTCTCTACCTTCCGGCCAAATTTGTGCTCCGCCATAACCTACTGCTGGTTGCAGCCTGGATTATCACTATAGAGCAGGCACGTTTGCAGATGAAGATGCACGCATTTGTTAGAGAGAAGGTGGTCGCTCATTTCAACAAAGATCATTCAGGTAAGTTAATCCTGCTTTGAAGACCTGGTACACCGAAAGCTCCAGCCTGACCTACTAATTTTTCAGTGCTTCTTCACATGCTTTTATTTCCTTGTTCAAACAGAGTGATCGTAAAAGTAGATGAAAGCAAAAAATGGGGTCGGAAAATTTCCCAGGGTCCCAGGACGTTGTGTTGCAATATCAGTTTTTGCTCCATCCTCTGCAAATGAGAGATATTGTGGTGAAACGAGGTAATTATGCAGTCATACAGTAAATGCGTTAAGCCTGACCAATCAGGTGAACCAATCCCTCTCGACTAATTTGGCAATTTTTACATACCTTATGCGTGGGGATATTCTCCAGGGCCACGTTAATCTGTCAAATGGCAAATATTGTAGAGAAAGTATGAAAGAACTGGATAAAAGAAGTAATCATAGAACGTTCATAATTAATGCATTAGACGTGTGCTTTAATACCTGCTAGCAAGAGGCCTTAATATATGGGTATACTCTTGTGCATTCTTCACTTTTACAATAACCATCATAGCTTCATCACGAAGCTCCACCTCAGATAATGAGGCATGAGTGGAGAGTTGAGGTAGATACTATATCATAAAAAGAATAACAAGTATCAATTAATCTCAAATGAGAATTTGGTTGTAGCATTGGTCGCTTGGCTTTATAGAGGCTGCAATACAAATTTAGAGTATAATCTAAGATAAAAACTTTTCCTTCTATCCTTAAAGGATCTTTTGCCTGACATTTATACTGGCCCATTTAGAATGTAGATACGAAGGATTAAAGCAAAAGCTATTTACTTTCGGAGCTTCTCCCTAGAGTCTCATCATCACCTTCGGTGAGTTTGGTTTCGTGGAATTGTGGGTTAAGTTAGGGCCGTGTGATTGGCATGGTCACATTGGAATTACTTTGAGGATACTATGGTCTATTTAAAAGGAAACTTGGTAGAAAATCTGAGAAAATGCCGTTTGAAGGAAATATAAGGGAGGTTTATAGACGAAATGAAGTGAAGCGAGGGGTCATGTAACTAGGACAGTAACATGCTTACCTCTTTACCCGGACATCCACGACTTTAATCCTACTGTCGGTGTTGATGAGAGGGTGAGGCGAGGTCGAGGATGCCAAAAGCCTTTACTTCAATCGTTTGTGTGCCCATTCGATATGAGGCCAATAGCACCTATTGAAGCTGGACGGCCTTGACAAGAGAATAAGGGGAAGAAGATTTGTTACTTTTGTGGACGTGCTGAATTTTGATTGTAGTCTCTATAAAACCAAGCAATTGATGCTGCATCCTGACACTCAACTGAGATTGATTAAATAGTTATCAAGCTGACATTCTTCTTGTAACCCAGTGACATACTAACGAAGATGTTTTGCTTTCTGAGGAAGCTATGCTGGACACCGTAAAAGTGCCGACTGCCCTAGCCATATTCATATAATTACCTTGAGGACTCTTGCAGAGGAATTATGAGGAATGATGCCGGAAAGCAACTTGAAGCTTTCAACATGGCAGAGTGATATCAGCACTATTGGCTTCGAAAACCACGGTGTTCAATAAAGGAAATAAATGTCTAAAATAATAACCATAAAAGATCGGGACAGGTGTCTGGGCATCGCGTCATCCAGTCCCTCCAGAACAAAGCAGGTGGTTTATGGCGACGGATAGCCTAAAAAAGATGTGCATTTTGTTCCATCACCTTGCGCCTCTGCCCTACGGCATCCCAAAAAATACCTTAACTCCCCAAAAAATTTGCAGTCTTCTCGCGGTCTCTCCAAAAACACAGAAAAATGTGGTGTCACTTAGTCATGGTTTTTAAGACAGTTGGCATCAATTTGAAAGTATTTCACTTGAATTATTTTAATTTAATTATTTTAAAAATTCTTCCTCTGACTTACATAAATTGAGTCTGTAGACACAGATACAGTATTGTTATTATCATCATGCTTTATTGTGCAGAGGTTTCAGAAGCAGTGCACCTTATGCCCTACCTGTACTTCCTGTTTGCACCAACTCTGCTCTACCGGGACATGTATCCTCGATTGCCTACATGTCGATGGCGTTTTGTCGTCACCAACCTATGTCAGGGCGTCTTCTGTGTGCTCTTCATGTACTTCCTTACTGCTCATTTCTTGCTGCCTTTTGTGGCGAGCTCTCCCCTGGCGACTGGGGAGACCGTAAATTCGGTCAGCTTGGAGCTATGCCGTCTCTT